ACCCACACCCACACCCACACCCACACCGACACCCACACCCACACCCACACCCACACCCACCCTCTGCGTTTTCCGGATGAATAGTAGTGGTTCCTGCTTTTTTTCGGCCGGTTTCGTCGGAAACAGGAGGTCGGAATCATCGATTTGGGGACATCTTTACTATTCCTTATTAAATTATTAGATTCATGATAAGTTGATAAGTAGAATAACGACTCTTGGAACGAAGTGAAACAAAGAAGTTCTGCCTGTAAATATTTTATTGAAATGGCACGATATATTGTGAATACTCTCAGATTCAAATAAGTATCTTATAATCTTCTTTCTGCCATATAATCATTTCATCAGACACATTTATTATCAGCGCCAAGTCGAAAACAAGTGTCATAGATAAAGAAAAAATAGAAAACTGCAGGCTTTGTCGTCAACCTCTTCTATTGTTTGGAAAACCATATAGAATTAATTTTCTAATTACAAATTAGTTCATAATGAAGCTACTCTTCGGTATGCGGTTCTACGGTACAAAAAAACTCGTGTTCAAACGGGATGCATTATTCCGCAGGACGCAAGGAAAACGCCAACAGATTGTTAGACTTTTTCATATTCGTTTTGTTAAGAAAAAAATATATAGAAATTATCAGTTTGACCGCAGACTACAATTCTCCTATATTCTTGTCTAATTGAGCGATACTGAAAAAAGTACCCTTTTATCTCTCATTTACTCACATATGGACTTTTCACATTAGATTGAATGACATGCAAATATAAGTCTTGAATACTTTTATCTTTGTACTACGATATTGTTGATGGAACAAAATATACGCGTTGAAAATTTTTATTCTCTAAGCAACTTGAGTGAAAGTTAAAATTTTTATTTCCGCATAGTTGCTTTGACCGCGGTTAGGCAGAAGAACAAGTAGGCAATAGTGCTTGCGTTTTTTGTCACTGTAAATTTACATAAAAAAGAAGGAAATTTCGATTACTTTCAGTAAAACAAATCTTGACGAGTCTCATTCTCCTAGTTGCCAATACTAGTTTCATTAATTATCTAGGTAGAAAACAATGTGATCATCCATCTTACTCCCGAATATCGTCTATTTTATAGGTATGCTCAAGTGCATTTATTAATAAACCATGGACAACATTATTATACGGATATGGGGAGGCAGCAAACAGCCATTAACAACTTGATCGACCTCTTCTCAGTAAATATTTTCAAATATTGGGCTGGCTCTGTGAACGAGCACGAAAAATGGAGAAAGATTGGATAATGTCGAGCTTTGATATAAACGCATTAGTGACTGGAAATGTATTATCTCGCAGCTCTTTCAACATGCTAACATCTCAGTTTGTCGAAACTTTCATGTGGCAAATTTCGCGAGACTTTCGACGTACAGAGCTATTTCTCAATTTCATGGTTCACGATAATTTACTTCCCACTGCATTCAACACTGACTGGTCACTAGAATATGGTAACGAATCAAATGGTTATCTTCTGCGAAGTATTCCTCGTTTATTCAATAACGGTACATGTAATTGCGTTGTTTCGAACCTATGCCAAGAAAATCTTCGCGTCGGTCCACCTGATCTCATTATCACTGGTCTTGTTGTCGGTTGTGGGCCAACAGATGGCCTACGTTTGTCGACACTCGAATGTTTCTACTCGTCCGATTGCATCACTACGGTTCTCAATTATCTTGAATACTACACACAAATAGACGGATCACCACCGGACGATTTCGTTCTACCAATTGTGTCTCCATTGGACATTTCTTCACTTGACAACTCAACGTTAAGTCGCTTTTCATCAACTACTCTCATTGGTGAACTCATAGACGAGATGTTTATCGAGCACTGGCAGCAGAATATCTCCTATGAGAAATACTTTTTTGCGTGCTCACCGAATCACTGTCGCTACGAAATTTTCAAGAGAAAGAGTGCTTCGTATGTAATAGCGGAATTATTTGCTGCTTATGGCGGACTTACTATTGGCCTGTGATTGATCATCTGGAACGGGGTTAGATGTTATCGATTCATCAAATGTCATTGCTATCATCATACCCTTATTGTTTAACCGATTTCTTGAATAACAATCAATTACTAAGTCTGACTGGGAGAATATCTTCTGAACTTTGTCAAACATTGAAAAATATAACTATCACCATAAAAAACTTATCGTAATCTGAATATTGTTGTAACGACAAACTGGATAGAGTAGCTTGTCGCCAATCTCGGCAATTATGTTTATTTAGCTACTCCATATATCTAGAGTGCATCTCCTTTACATACAACACACGTATATATCGGAGAGAGTAGGAGAGGCAGAGATAAAGATATAATATAACAATGAAGAGAGAATAGAGATAGAGAAGAAAGGTAAGTCATTGAAGCGTGTGATCAACATCGGGATGTGGTGTGGGTGGGTGTGAGTATGTGTTCGAAGGAATGATATAACCCCACATCGGGACCCCATACACACATCCACACCCACACACACCTCACACTCACACCCACACCCACCCACACCCACACCCTTTTCTGTCGTATTTTATTATAATTTTGAATTGAAACCAACCTATTTTGGGTTCAAACGAGCACTTGTGATTGATTCATTATTATTTTCGGATGTAACTCTCCATTCTTTACAAGCCAAAAGCCTTTTCAGATAATATATTAGTATGTCTAAAAAGATTTTTTTTATTGTCTTCGTCGAGTTTGTCACTTCTATGTCACTCGTCAATGTCTCTATAAACGATTTGCTGGAATCATCAACTTTTGAGGTTACTCATTCGTCATTAGCCGGTATAATCTGCAAAATTAACAATAGTTATTATTTGTTGAATAATAACATACGAAAAAAATCATATAATTTAACAAATCTAAAATTAATCATCATGATCAGCATTAAAAATGTTTTATCTACAAAAGAACTAATTAAATCTAACATGATCTTATTTATTGTACTAATTTCTCATTCAGTTAGAAGGATATTTTTGAATAAATAATTGATTTATGATTAAGATAAAACGGATGTTAATAGAATTGGCGATTATACAACGAAGTTGTATTGTTGATCTTATATCACTTCCATTATTATAGTTAGATTTATATTTATAAATATTTCCTATTTTAACCAATAGAAAAGATATTCATATAAAAGAAATTGTTTCATGATTAACCTGATAGTTACACTATTACTTGTTCTTTTCGTTCACTCAGGATCTCATATAACATCGAAGATGAACAACTAGAAACTTTACAGAATTCTTTTGATAGTGTAAAAGATAAAGTTGAAAATTCTTTCAGTTTTTTATTTGTGTATTTTAATCTGATGATTACGAATTAATGTAACCAATGTTATATTTTTCAAGGCAAAATTTTTAACTTTAAGGATCCACCACCAATCCATACATTTCCATAATTAAAAAAGAAGTAGACATGTGATATTGTAGTATGAAAAACGAAATATTTACATGAATCTGATTCAATTTCAAAGCAAAGTATAGTGAAAATTCATTAGCTAATCGTTAGAAATATGAAACTACATTATTGATACTATTGCTAACGGGTGATAATTCATCAAATGGATTGAATATTGATGTTTTCAGTAAGTTCTCAATCACTCATAATCGAAACAAACATTTGAAAACTATATTTAGGACTTAATTATCATAAATGTATACAGACATGAAACACACAAAAAATGTACAGAATTTCGAACAAATGTTTATATTATCAATAAAAGCTTAGACATCACTTATATTTCTTTGTTCACATGAAAAATATTTGTCTTCTAAGTTTCAACTTATAAAACCGAATTGTGAGTATTTTACCTGTACATTTTGGTCGTATCGCTCACTTCTTCTTATTCTATTCTAATGATATTAGTATAATGTTTTTGTGCAACTTATTTGGCAATGATTTTCAAAAGATTATTTTCGATGATGGAATTTGAGGTTAACAAAAGGCAACCGTTTTCTTGTAAATGATTGATATCATAGACAACCAGCATCTGATAAAATCTTATTCCCATCAGTTATAACTGTCTATAAATGTTTTCACTAATTTTTTTATTATTATTTTGAATGAAAATATATCATAATATTCAATTACGAAAATATAAGAATTATATTAATTATATTCATCTTTTTCTTCGTTTGTCACAAACACATAAACTATGATGATGACCATCGGAAACAACATCATGATAAACACTACTAGAACCATAACGGCAACCTGTACCACGACGCTTCCATTCAGCCTTTCTCGCACCAATACCACAACAACCACAACTGCCTTTATGCCAAACCCATTCATTACATTTCTTACAATTTGGACAACACCGTCCACCACAAGCAGGTTGATCTGTATGGGATGATGGCATTATTTGGTGGTCTCCTAAATAAAAAGAAGACATTTTTGAAGTTTTTTTAAGAAAAGTGTGATCTCAAAAATTTTAAAATCTTTGCTCTGCAAATATGTTTGAATGCAAATGAATGTAACATTCAAAGTTAATTAACATTTTAAAAGAATATTTTTAAAACAAAAAAGTTCTCGAATAATTTTAATGCCATTTTGACATTTTGCATTATATATTTGTACACATTCTCCCTTTCGTCAAGGTTGTCAGAATAATACGCTCCCTATAAAAAATTCTGTAAACAATTGTTCTTGTTTAGTAGAAGACTGAAAGAAGTTTGACTAAGCGATAATTTTGCTTCTCATTCTTTTTTGTTCTGTGTAACAGAATGAAATAAAATATGTTCTCGTAATAATATTGATTTTATCGATAACAAGAAGAGTGAATTTATGGTAACAGCGTAAAAAAAAAGGAATTCTTAAAATAGATGTTGTTTCTTCATGCATGTTCTTCGTCTTTTAGCTTCGAGGTGAATCTGTATAATTCATATTCGTTATATCAATTGGCACAATAGTGATATTAAACTCACGCAAACGTTTATAATTTGTTGGTATGAACATTTTATTATGAAAGAAATGGTGATGAGAACATGATTTGATGACAATCATATCGAATAAAATTAGCTAATAGATCATTTTTATAAAAAACATTATATGATCGATATAGGTTGAAAATATTGTTCTGTAAAAATGAATAAATTAATATGAACCAAACAATATGTTTAATATATTTTTTTGTGCATCGGTTTGAGTTTGCCATCATCTGAACGTCTGTCATATCAAACTGCGGTAAGAGTCTAGGTCGCCGCTGATACGTCTCCAAGTGTAAACAATAGCAAATTACGATGTAATATCCCAGTAATCATCAAATATAACATCAATAATGTTATTAACCATAGTACTACCGTGCCTATTTTAGAGATAATATGATGACATGTAATCTAATTGTGTGATTTTTCATTATTAAACCGATATTTTCCCCCAAGTTATTCTATTTTTCTATGTGGTCTTGCAAAGAAATTATTAGAAGTATAATTTTTCTTTATTTAGAACAAGTAATAGAAAAAATTCCTTAAACAGAATGCTGTTCAAAATCAGGTTTTGAACATTGATAATATCTATTGCGAGCTTTTTTGTCTTTGGAACGGTTACAAAGCGAACATCGTTTTCGTTTTGACCGTATAAGATTAGTAATGTTCCATTGCATTACGGGCTAATAATCGAACTGGTTTCACATTTCTCTTGGCTTATTATAATTTTGTTAGCTGATCAAGATATGAATTCATATCAAACACTCGTAATTTGCATAAAAAAGGAAGATGAATTTTTTTTATAGTCAACTTTAAACGGTACAAAATTGTTAAATATTTTTCGAAGGTAAAAACATACCAAGATATTTTTGTTATATTTCTGTTTCCAATAACGGGGTCCAAATGGACCCCGGTTGGTAGTACTACGATTAAATATCGCATAGCAATAGAGAGTTTGAAGAAAAAAGTGGCAGACTGTTGAACCATGACAAAATAGTTGATGCCCAAGATACCAGCAAGTAAGCCAAACAAACGAATATAAGTATCATTGGCAGCTTTTAATCCAACAAGAGATGATACTGAGTGAGGAAAAAACTAAAACCAATTTCATCAATAATAATCATATAGGTTCCAAATAGTAACATACTCAATTTAGATTGAGTGTAGGATTTAACATCATTTGTCAATGATCGCATTTATCTTGTCTTGACTTTTTGAAGGAATGAAAGAAAATCTAAAATTAACATGCCATGAGATTAATGAACATTTTCACTAAACAGATGATAGAGCTATTGAGAAAGTTTCGATTGGATAGGTCGAGATTTCTATTGAATCGAAAACAATAAAAGTCATGCAAATACTGGAGAGACGTTTATCGAGTTGCAACTTTTCTGTATTACTCGACAGAAGCGTTAAGTAGGACGCATTATCAATGATTCTTCTCCTCTTTAATCTTTCTCTTCGAGAGTAATCCAAATATTCTGAGTTTTATCCATCTATCTGTTCTCGTACTTAATTTCAGCGAACGAAAATCCAAGGGAAAAGACTGAGCAAGTGAATTGTCATGTATTTGAAATAACAGAGTACGCAAATCAGATAAGAGTACATTTCTTAACGGTTTCGTATACGCAAGTAAGATTGTAAGTGTGAGTTGGTGGGATATATACATATTTCGACAAACAGAAATAAAAAAGATCGAATTACTATGCCGACAGTTCTCGCCAAGGGGGAAAAAACTGATTACTAATACTAGTAATCAATTTGTAATCACGAGTAATCACCAGTAATCACGAGTAATCATCAGTCCCGAACCGTGGGGTCCTCAAGTCCTATTTTTGAAAAAAAAGTTTTTTCGAAAACTTTTTTTTAAATGCAGAAATAGGCTTTTTGATAAAAAATTAATTTTTTCCAAAAACATTTTTGCAACAAAATTGTGGGGTGTTTTGGAAAAAATTTATTTTTTCCCAAAAAGTCTATTTCTGCAATAAAAAAATTTTTTTTTCAAAAATAGGACTTGATGACCCTAGGGCTCGGGTTGGGGACGGAGATGGTTACGAAACCGTTACCAGTTACCCGGGAACGTAACGGTAACTTCCCACCCCTAATCACTAGTAATCACCAGTAATCACTAGTAATCATTGGTAATCAAGTAATCAGTTTGTTTCCCCTTGGTTCTCGCAAAGAATATTTAAAATATAAGATATGTTCGAGATGTAGCGCCACAATAGCAATCTCTCAAACAGAATATAATCACTTAACTTTCAGTATGTTGATTGAATATCAAAGTTCTGAAAAAGATTTGATATGATTTGTTACTAGAAGGATCATTTTCGAAACGAAGATAAACCTTATCGACGGATTCTGCTCGATCGGAGTCTGTATTGCCACTATTGTCGAATGGTTGAATGTATTAGTTAACTTTTCAGGATTTCGAGAAAATCTTCAGAATCTATTAGCGTAACGTGCTGGAAGTTTCAATATGACAGAAGTTAAGCGACTAAGCTATCTTTATGCAATTATCAGTTCCAATTCGCAAAGTAATCAGTGATAACGATTAAAATACATCGATTTTTGAATGTTTATCAACAACTACTCATTGTTGATCGTCAACTAATCTATTGATTCTTACGTAGATTAATGTCAACATAATTTCTTTTCGAATATTGAAATCAGATAATTCTTATTGATTATATATAAAAGTTATCTAGAAAACATGATCAATTAACTGAAAAATACTTGTTTTTTCCAAAAATATCAGGAAAGGTTTTCTTTTTCTTTTTTATTCATAACGAACGACTGTTCTGCTTTGAAAGGAAGGTATAGCTACATAGTCCATGCATTACACATGACTTATCTCGAAAAGAAAAAAGGATCAGGTCTAATCAAATAAAGCTACTGCCAGTTTTCATTGTTTTTGCCAGCAGTGACATGTTCTTCTTAAAAAAAGCATCTTAACAGCATAGTATTTTTCAGACTGAAAGTGGTACAGAAATTTTCTCTTCCTGTTTATTCATGAATCGAATCAAAGTTGTCTTGATCGACTACAACCGCCAAATATGTAGTTCTAAATCCACCTTGACAATAATCTAAGCTGAATTTTTATCGATTAGGTATTTAAAAGGTGTGGTAGCAATTATTTACATACGACTAGAATCGGAGGTTAATCCTGAAAATGAGCATTAATATTGATTTGATAAAAATGAACGATATCAAAGCGCATCGCATGGTGTCAGTTATCTAGCGAGTTTTTTCGTAGCTTGATTTAACAATTAATTCTTTCTCTCATATCATGTTTGTCTGTTGGGTAGTATTGTCTCGTAGACAGATAATAAAGCTTTTTATTTTTCCTCGTTCAAATCTTAGAGTCAGTCACGCCAGCTTTATGAAAATCAGCAAACATTGTCCAAACATCAATAAAGGGTGTGGGTGTCATTTTGCTCTTTATAAAACCCATACACCCATACCCTATAGCTCAAGTCTAGGTCTACAAATTGACCAAAGAATGTATGATTAATTGTGCAACACTACTGTGATACATCACTCAATGAAAAGAGGTATATAAAAGTAAATGTACTACTCATCAATTATGGATATCTCGTCATAAAAATATCTACCCAGACTGTTAAAGTGCAACACTATTTATCTTAAACTCCGACTCTTCTGTTTCAAGATAAGTGGGTCATAAACGTATATGTATCGTTGAGTGAAAGGAAAGAGTTTAAATGATTCTTTCTATAAAACAGTAAGATAAAACTACAAGACGTCAGGCAACAAAACTAACGAAACTCTCCATTTTGTTGTAATAACAACAACAAACGGCTGTGTAACATGAGTCGAATCACTCTACTGTGTTTTCTTCATGAATCGTTACTCAACATTTTTATAATATCAACTTAGTGTACGTGGTTTGCCTTCTACATATTCACTTAGTACAATTGACATTTTGCACCTTTACCAGGGTTTCAAACTACCGACAATAAAATCAAATAACGCGCAAAGTTTGTCTTTCAACATGACGGTAATCTTTTGGTAAAAAATCTACGTTGAATATTCTACATGAGGATGATCTGTTCCATATAAGTCAAAATCCATAGAAGATTGTACGCGCCAGCGAATTGAGCTATGTAAAACCTTGTAAAAAAAAAGAGGGCCAGATTCACTGAGGAATTTCGTTCGCATCCAGATGCCTGCATAAGGTATGACGGTTTCATTTTCTGTACGGATTCACATTTTAACGCTTGATGCACCTCTAAATGTGAATGTTTAAAAACAACCATTTATGTTCTCTTAAATGAATCCGTTAGTCGTTTAGAATTCAACGAGTAATCGTGATGGTTCATAAAACTTCATGTTTTTGATAAACCTATGATAAAAATGTGCGTTCCAGGGCAGACTTATCGATAATAATGTTGACTTTGCTTTTTACCAACGTTGATACTAGGACTGAGTCTCAACACGAACAGTTTCC